ACGGAGAAGTTGTAAATTACAAATGACTCGTATAAAGATTTGTATTTCAAATCGTTATTTTTGTTACTATATTGTACTATGATACAGGAGTACTAGATTAAAATTTTTATAGCAGTTTTAACAAAAATCAATTTGTTATTCTTCTATTATATTTTAAATGTTACAATTTATTTAATGTCAACAACGTAACTAATTGATTTAAGGATGACTCCGACCAAACTCTGATCAATTTAATTGGGGATTAATTCAACCGGCAAAATCACTTAAGTAAAATTTCTAGCTATGTAATTTTGTTATTCCTAGTCTAATATTTCGCATATGTCGAACAATAAAAACTTAGTTTTATTCATGTTAACAAATTAATACAGATATTATTTGATAAGTTAATCGCCAATTAAATTAATTAAAGTTTTGATTGGTTTGATTGTTTCTAAGTTATTCTAAGATTTATTTTTGTAGATAAATTTTTATACTTTTTATTTTCTTTTTTTTCCACACCGTTTAATTTTACATATGTAAAATTCAAATTCAAATTATATATAATTATTAAATTAAACTTTGGTTCTCCTATAATGACGCTTCTTTCATTAAAAAAAAAAACAACAGGCGTTTATTTGCGTCCATTTATCATATCGAGCATATCGAGGTTAGTGTTAAGCGATGCGAGGTGTTGGCCCTCATATGTGTGTGCTAAAAATCAATTTTTTTACGAAATGAAGTGTAATTAATACGAAACTAATACGCATTTGATATATTCATAAACTGAAAATCTTTCTCGCAAAAGTATTTTTTTATCCACGGCAAGTACGTGTCTAGTATAATTCAATTTCTATTGTAGAGTTCAATTTAAACGATTATTATAGGTTATGTTATATGCTTTGCTCTGTAAAACGAACATCGCCTCGTAAAACTCCGTCGAGTTATTTATTATATGTGAATCTTATTTATCAGAAAATCTTAAATTTGTCATCTCTTCGCCGTATGAAACAGAAGTTATCGTAATAATTTTGTTGTCACTCAATTATAATTAATGCTTTATAGAAAATATTGATACATGACAAATTTTCACATTTACAGAAAATGCAGAGTATTCGTCAGTGTGTCAAGCATTTAGCGTTATACGGCAGATCCGCTATAAATAGGACGAATATATTGTCAAATGCAACAAATCTTGCGCCAGCATGTAGTTTCCATATTTCTGCGATATGCAAAGGTAAATTGAGTAACTACGAAGCCCCAACAGGATTTCTAGATTATAATAAGACTATATTTCCACCTCAAAAGCCAGGTGAAGAAAGAAGACCTGCTGTAAGTTGCATTTTGCCAATTTTAATATTAAATATTAAGTTATCAAGTTATTGATCACTATGTACATTTGTTTCTCAGTATGTATGCCACATGAAAGCTAATATAAAATACAGTCCGAAGAAGATGTGGTACATCGCGGGTTTTGTGCGAGGAATGTCCGTGGACGAAGCTGTGAAACAGTTGAGTTTTTTACACAAGAAAGGCGCTATAATTGCGAAGGAAGTTATATTAGAAGCCCAACGGTTGGCCGTGGAAGAGCATAACGTTGAATTTAAAAGTAATTTGTGGGTTGGTGAGTATATCAATTAATGTCCGAAACCTCGGTTACATGTATCTACGAACCGTTCTGTTTCCTAAGTCTTCTAACAATTCGAATATCGTGAAAATGTTTCTTTTTTCAGCGGAATCGTTCGCTACTAAAGGTATCGTAATAAAGGGATTACGGCGTCATGCTTTTGGACGGAAGGGAACCATACACTATAGGTATTGCCATTATTTTGTACGCTTAGAGGAAGGACCACCGCCTAAGCATTACTACCTACCGTATCCTAAGACTGGCGAGGATTTGTTGAACGATTGGTTGAAAGAAGCGCACCAACGCAAAGTACCGAATTCTTTGTAATGTTATGAATATGTAATACTGTAAATATATATTATATGAAAACTAATAATTAGTATCATATATATCAAAATATATGTCCTATCTTTTAGCACTCTTTTTTTTGGCAGTAGTTTATTACAGGCATGCAATTTCCTGAAGGTTGCAATATTTTATTTTAAATCGTAGACATTATTGAAGTGACATTAACGAAAAATTGTATATCGTATAGGTATTAATGTTGTAGATAGTCATACAGATATTGAATAGAAGAAAATTGAGAGATTTTATTTCTTATACAGAAGTGATATCTTTATTCATTATCTGCAAGCATGGAATCATGTGATTTACAACTTTAGCTTAGTTCTTCTCCAGTGACGCCTCTTTGCGTTGTACCTAAAAACAAAAAAAGTTACAATGTTAACATATAAACCTTTATAAATCTTCATTAATAATGTTCCCATTATATATCTTAATATTATAAAATAATCTCAAATATAAGTATGTGCTGCATCTGTAGTAAAATTGTAACAATGATAGTCCATCTTCTATCTTCTCATCGAATCAAAACAATGACAATAATGTCAAATTATACAAAGATAATACCCAGGTAACAAGCACTCGTCATTTTGACGTCAATTGACGTTAAAATGACGAGTGCTTGCTATCTGGGTATAAAACTAAAGAAACATCTAATATTGAAGTCTCATTCAGACATAATATTTTAATTTTTTCTCACAATCAAGATTATAAACTATGGATATAAGGTGTAATACTAATTTTATTTTAATACACATATTACACATTAATGGCTCGTCTACAATAGCCGCAACAGTATGCAGTAAGCTGTTGACTAATGGGATTTTTACAATTCAAGAATAATCGACTGTGGTTGGTCAATAGCTTACTACTCACGTCTTACTGCATACTTTTACGGCTATTGTAGACGAGTCAT